TGCACAGCAACATTAGTATCGATTACCGGGTCCACACCATCCCCCCCCCCGAAACGTGTTCTCAGAGATGCTGCTGATGGTTGTGGGTTTTTTGCACCCGTGTTCACAAGAAACCCTGTCGGCCAAGATGCTGGGACGCGCACGGCCCCATATGATGTCATCCAGGCGGCTGATGTCATGCTTGAGTGAAGAGGGACTCACCAGACATGTTCCCAACATGTCCTGGACTCTGGATTTATTTAGGGAGTGCTGGCATCCCATCCGTCAAGGCAAAGGGCCACCCTGTCAGTTGGGTGCTCTCCCCCCCCAGGACTATTTAGTTTCCAGTTACCTTTCCAGGTGCCAGCCCCTGGGTCAGGCTCCCAGTCCAGCTCCTGTCACCATGGTGAACAATTTTACCAGATGGGGGAAGCTATCAGCTACTCTTTCTTTCCTTCTGTATCTCGTCGTCCTGCCCAGTTACACCTTCCATGCTGCTGACGTGGTAGCATTAGGGGTATATCATCCATGGGTGACTCCTAGAGCTGGAAGGGTTTAGCGGAAAGTCTGGGACACAAAGGGGTTGGTGGCCAGCGCTGCGTCGAGGTTGACAGCATGCAGGCTTCGCCTCACATTAAACTCCCCGTTCCCTTCTCAGTTGATGTGTCTTTAAGCACAACCTCGAAGGTTTTCCCTACATCCTTGCAACTTCCGCTATTCCGCCAGATGGCTTCCACTCCGACTGCCTGCCGAGAGGCTCGTGAGCCACGCCTTGGCCCAGGGCCTCGCAATCCTGCCCACGCTTCCCCTGCACTGGTCATCCCCATCACCGAATGGGATTTCCGTGCAGTAACATGAGTTATGGCCAGTCAGAAACACCCCGTCTGCCAGCCACGTAGAAAAAGGGGACACTCTCCAGAACATTCTCCTCCAGGGAATGCTCTTGCTTGCTGGACTGCGATGGCAGACTCGGGCCCAGGCTGTGCCTGCATTTGGCGTTCCCCACTCTCACATAGCCCATGTGCTCTGGGCTGGATCGTTTGGCCTGGTCCTCTCTCGTCTTTTTTCAGCGGTTCAGTGCTTTCTGTTTTAGCAGTTCCCTCAAGACCTGTAAACGAGAGCTTTCTTATGCTCATGGGACTTTTACTTACACAAAATTGTTCTGAGGGCAGGAGGAAAAAAATGATTGATTCAGTGAAATAACCAATCAGATTGTAGAGGAGGTGGGTCCAAGCCAATCAGATGTCTTGGACCCACCTCCTCTACAATTTGATCTCCCTGAACCAATCTTTTTTTTTTTTTGTTATTCTCCATTTTTCTTTGTGTCAGCAAAACTTCCATGAGCATTTTATATATATATTATTATATATATAATATATATATTTTATATATATATATATATATATATATATATATATTTTTTATATATATATATATATATATATATATTAGAAAAGACCAAAAATAAACGCACCAGGCCAGTCGTAAGATGACATTTAAACTGCAATGTTAAAGAAATGAGTCCCTTTGGTAGTGCAGAGGTCCACTGGTTTTTGCTCTTCTCTTACGATGTATCCGGCTTACTTTGACATCAAGTGTAGTATGGGTCTGCATCTGCCATTGTCTGGACAGCTTGCATGATGAACTCTTAGGGGATCAAAGCTATATAACATCTGCCACAATCATCCGGTCCTCCTTGAGGATCGAAGAACAGGAAAAGTGTGAGAGGTTGTGGCACATTTTTTAAATAAAATGTTACCTGCAGTGTGTTAGGTTAAATCATTGCCGGCTTGAGGGTCCTTGGAGAGCATGACCTTAAGGAAGTAAAAAGATAATAAAAATCTTGGCCCAGGATTTTCCCCAGTAGTGCAGAGGGTCCCTGCAGCCTTGAGCTCATTACAGAGATTCTGCTCTCACACCATCTAAAGAGGCAGGACTGCTGGAGGTGCTTATTGCTTAACAGCATTTCTCCTCTTTAAACGCATTTTGTTGCGCGCCAAAGTCGCACTAATTGCGCCTCCAGTTCACTCCTGCGGTTTGAGCGGATGACGTCAAAGTGCACTGGAAGGCGGACCAAGAATAACACTCCTCCAGCTCCTGCCACGGCACAGAAGGGGATCTCGGGGGTCATTTGGGTCATGGGTTTGTTTGGTACTTTCAGAAAAATCAAACGTGAGCTCAGTTTGATGGATTCCAGGCTTGATCTCCAGTTCTGCTCCCCCTGCAGTTTTCCCATGTCTGTGACTGAGTGAGTGTGAGATGATGATGTACTGTGTACTTGAGCGTATTTTATATAAATGCGACAGACTTACGAAAGGACTAGATGGATAACCTGGAACCTGGTTTTGGCAGGACCCAAGAGAAAGGCTTCTGCCAGCCGTACCGGGGCATCGCCTGCGCTCGCGTCATCGGGAACCGCAGCATCTACGTGGAATCGCTGCAGATGCAGGGAGAGAGCGAGAACCGCATCACAGGTGGGTGCCCCTTGCCTGCGGACGTTGTGGGTCACATGACGTGGGTTCCCAGGGATTGACTGATGACTCATGCTTTCTGAAGAGGAACGTGGGACATCTTATAGTTCACTGATACATTATAAAAAATGATTCTGTCTCGTTGGAACGTTACTCGGCAGGGATGGGATGGAGGAACAGGAAAGACGAGAGATTTAAAAAACCATTTCTGCTTCAACACACGGGGAAATACACAAAACAAGAAAGGGATTCAGTCGGGCGTGAGCTCGGGTATCAGGATCTGAGGGGGATTTTGGGGGCCAGAGAAAAACAAAACTCTATCCATCCATCCATCCATCCATCCATCCCGCGACCCGACCTCGCATAAGCGGGAGAAAAACAAAACTCGACCCTGTATAATTGTTAAGGCACCCATGAAGTGAATGACCCTGCCTGTCATCAGACTCCAGAATGTTCTTACTCCGCCCTCTACCTTAAATAATGCTTTCAGACCAACAGCTGAATCTGTGAGATCTAAATTGGGTTAGATGTATCAGCTGAGACTGTGTCAGACTTGTGTGTCAGGTAGTCTTTGTGTGTGTGTCTACATATACATACAGGGAGTGATACTCCAGACCATAATTACGTTACGTTTGACGGAGGACGGAGACTGAAACCTCCCCCAAAGCCTTCTCCTTGGAAGGCCTAACACAAGTCCATGGAGAACACCAGACAGATGTTCAGGGTGATGTTCGATGGGCCACCTGTAATTTCAGCTGAGCCCTGTAGCTTGCTTTGGTTTCCACCAAATCCTTTTCCAACACCTCATGGCATCAGTACAGTGTTTTGTTTCTTCCTGTGACTGAGAGGACCTGCTCGGGTAACCAATCCCCCCTTTCAGAAGACTGTCCCGCAGTAAATCCACAATAAAGCCCACTTATGTCTCTGGTAAAGTGAATGCTGTCCTCCTTTTGACTAAAACCAGTAGCCTGTTGAGTTAGCTTTTGCGTCTTGGACCCTTCTGGAAGCCGTTCCTGTACAGGAGTGTCTTTCAACAAAATGTGAATGGGATATTCTTTTAGCCTTTGGTGGTAACATTATTGTCTTTTTACATGGAGAACTGTTTTTTAATACCTTTGGCATCTATGACTGCTGCTGTCAGGGTAAAGATACAGGTATAATGCAGACATCCTGATGATTCTCAGCTCAGTGGCTTAAAGTTGCTTTTTGAAAGCTTTCAGAAATAACGGCTACCCTTTGAACTTGTATGTTTTGTGAGCAGTAAATAACTTCATCTTTACCTCTTTGTATTTTTGAACTCACCTGTAAACAGCTGGTCTCATTTACACGACTGCAGCTGTTGACAGAATAATACAAATGCAATCCGTTTATCTCCAGCAAATTTAAACTTGACTCCAGCTGCTCCCCCACCCTACAATCTTTCCTTAATTAAAAATGTAAAATTTGATTGAACTGAGATCTTTACCTGCCCCTGTCATAACATCTGTAACATAGATTCAGCCAAGTTAACAGTGATCTGAGTTCTGGTTGGTTGACATCTGAAATGGTGCAGATTTATTTAGTTTTACTTGTGTAGATTGCAGGAAGACTGCTGAAATATGAAGTATTTATCTGCCTGCAGAAAGCTGTGTTTTTTTGTCTGGAACACAAATGTTAATGCTTTTGTTTATGGGTTTTGTGTTCTTGAGGTTTTCAGACTTTTGTTTAGGAATAATTGCATTTTGAATTAAGTTTAAATGGGGAGTCGGAGTCCATACAGATGAGAAAGCTGGTGTGTATGTATAGCCTCCATAAACACTCCTTAGGTTTAATAACTTTCATTCAGCTATTTCTATGGCACAAAACACTGAAAGCTCCAGTCGTATGACATCACTAAGAGCAAAATGTGCATCAAATTATACACTTGCTGCTACGCTGGCTTACATTTAATTGTGTAATTCATTTTACGTACTCATGTCATATTTCTTAGACTTTATATCCATAATATGTACTGGAAAGACAGACTGTTCTGGCAGAAAAAAGTCACCAAAATATAATACTATAACTTTATGTGGTACATAACCGCTTGGAAAAATATTCCAGGAAAAGTTTTAGTACAGACAAGGGCCATTTCTAACTTCATTAAAAAACAAACTTTTATTGTTATCTGGAATGTAACAGTGTAATTAAAGAATTCCTTGATTGGTTCTTGTCATTTCATTTGTACGTGGCATTTGAGTGGGACCAGTTTCCTAAATGAAATGTTCCAATGCAGTTACTGTAGATTTATTTTTAATCTCCATCCATTTCTTCTTGTCGTTCCAAATTCAGAAGCAGTTGGAGTTTATTTGACATAATTGTGTTTTATTTGAAACATATATAACAATTATTCATATATAAAACTTAAATGCATTACAAAATCAAGCTCAGTTTTTCAGTCTGCGATGGGTATTTTTGGGTATTAAACACAAGTTTGTATTTAATTTGTGGTGTATAATTTAGACGCAAAGGTTCAGGGACACGCAGGAGTTTTTCCAGGGGCAGGTGCTCGACTGGGGTGGGGGGTGGGGCATGGGGGGGGACCTCCTCCATACCAGTGATCGAAAAGTGAAGAGGGGCACTCAGGATCTCAATAGGGAGGCTGAGCAAATCAGTGATATATTACTGTTGTCTGTGTTGAAATGGTCTGAGATCATACAGTTGCATGGTGGAATGGGCAGTGCAATGAGTATTTTGCTTGTATGCACTTTTAATAACTGGCAGTCGCCACCATCACACTTCATGTCTTTTAATACTGAAATGACTCATGGCGTCCTTTCCTACAGCCGCGCTGACCATGATCGGCACATCCACGCACCTGACAGACCAGTGCTCCCAGTTTGCCATCCCGTCTTTCTGCCACTACGTGTTCCCGCTGTGCGACGAGGGTGCCAGGGGGGCGCGCCAGCGGCAGCTCTGCCGGGACGAGTGCGAGGCGCTGGAGAGTGACCTCTGCCACGCCGAGTACGACATCGCCCGCAGGAACCCACTTATTCTCATGCAGCTGGACCTGCCCAAATGTCACCTACTGCCCCACCCCAGCTCGCCCGACGCCGCCAACTGCATGCGCATCGGCGTGCCCAGTGACAAACTTGTGGCATGTAGGTACCCCAACAGAGTCTGTGGAATTCCTGCCTGTGATGTAAGAGGTCATGTGACCTTGTCTTCCCAGAGCCAGCCAATCACAAACACATTTTTTTTTCTTATTTCTCTTGTGAAATATTTTAATTTCTACCAAATATGTCATTTTGCTGCTAGTGCGACCACACACACAGATTCAGGCATATAAAAAATGTTTTAAGGATTTGCTTGGTCTGCCTCAGGAGTGTTGAGAGATGTACGGAAAGGGAGAGACTAAGGCTTGACTCGGGGGGGTGTGATTTTAATGAAAATGAATGAGAACGCATAATTTAAAGCCTGCTCCTCTGGGTCCCCCTCCGGGGGGTCTGTGTTTTCGCTCCTCCCCAGCTCCCTGTCAGACACTGATTTACACTAATTACTGTACATTCATTCGGGGGGGCTGAAGTCACCCTTGGCACTAGCTGCATTAGATAGTTTGTTTTGTTTTATTTTTGAGATTGCTCTTGTTTAGTATTGCTTTTCCAGTGTAGCCTGCGAGACTCCTCACTTTGACTCTGTGTGAAAGATTCTCCCACAGGTCACAACTGCTACAACGGCAGCGGCGCTGACTACCGGGGCACCGTCAGCGTCACCAAGTCAGGCTATCCGTGTCAGGCCTGGAGCGAGCAAAACCCCCACATCCACCGCTTCTCATCCGTCGAGTTCCCGGAGCTGAGGGGGAGTCACAACTACTGCCGCAACCCCGGGGGCCAGATGGAGGGGCCCTGGTGCTTCACACTGGACAAGAACGTGCGGGTGGACCTGTGCGATGTGCGACTGTGCAGTGAGTGCCATTCTCAACCTCAGTTCGTCAGTCTGAGATGCAGCTAAGTGACTAAGAGGGGGGTGGGCTGTGCCTTAGCGGGTTAGGCATCCATTCCTTTGATCAGAAGGTCACCAGTTTGAATCCCATGTTCGGCAAAATAGTCCGATTCCCTTAAGCCCCTATAACAGTACAAACAGTACAGTTTGGGATCTGTGCCCACATCCAGAAGGTTGTTGGTTCGAATCCCATGTTTGGTAGCATAATCATATCATGTAAAGCACCTTGGTGCTATATAAAAATGAATTGAACAGAGTTTAGGGTGGTAGTGTCTACAGTATTTTTGTGTAACTGAACATCGCAGAGTTTGACTAACCAGTACAGGAAACATGATTTATTGCTTCATAACCCCACATTATCTATTAGAATCAAGCTCATTTGCCACTTTATGAAATATACCTGACTGATACTGTGTAGGGCCCTCTTCCCTCCAGAGCTTCTTCAAAGGTGCCTAGAGAAGCCATTCTGCAGAGCACTATCATACTATCTCTCAGTAATGAGATGTTTTCAGCCACAGAAATTCCATTCTGTGTAAACTCTAGATACTGTACTGCATGGAATAGTAACTGCATACATTACATGCCATTCTAATCTCATTTTACCCAAAAGGTGCCTGAGCCTCTTGCTCCTGCTTTATGTATTCAGCTGCAGCCATGTGATTGGCTGTTTTGGAGGAGCAGGTCGTTTATGTTAATGAGCAGGTCAACATAATAGGCTGGTCACTGAGTGCATATAGTTCATGTCACATGGGTGCTGTGTGATGTTCTGACAGTGCCCCCCGAGAACCTGAAGAAGGAGATCCTGTACATCCTCATCCCCAGCATCGCCATCCCCCTGGTCATCGCCTGCCTCTTCTTCCTGGTATGCATGTGCCGGAACAAGCAGAAGGAATCGTCGGACGCGCCCCCCTGCCGACAGCTCACGGCCTCGCCCAGCCAGGACATGGAGTTGCCCCTCCTCAACCAACACAAGCACCAGGTACCTGCAGCAAGGGGAAGGGGGGGTGGATGATCTTAAGTGGTATTTCTTAAAAAAATGCTTTGATGATGGTCTAGCTCGTTTGATTAGTATGATTGTTCTGTACCGTGCCCGGACCCGGTTCAAGAGGTGGGTCCGGGGCACTATTCAGTTGGACTTGGATGTGGTGCGTATCTAGTGTGCTCGCTAAGCGTGCCTGAGCACGGAGCACGGACATGACGTCAGTGATGTATCTGGAGACAATGTGCTTGTGCATGGTACAAGGCAATAGGGCCAAGAGCAAGGACTCCCTCAGAAGCCTACAGAAAGCGAAACTGAATGTGCTATGAAAATAGAAACAGAATAACGGATTTGACCTTAACACATGCCACACATATTCCTAATTCATCTGTTAATTTTTAAAGTTCCAGTTCCAGGTTAAATTTTCCACAAATGTATTAGGTAAAAAGTATTTTAGGTGAAGAAATAACTCTAGCCAATGAATTTTTTTCCTAGGCCAAGCTGCGAGAGATCAACCTGTCGGCTGTACGTTTCATGGAGGAGTTGGGAGAGGACCGCTTTGGGAAGGTCTACAAAGGTCATCTGTACAGTACAGCACCTGGTGAACAGACACAGGTGGTCGCAATCAAAACGGTGAAGGACAAGGATGAGGGAACATTACGGGAAGAGTTCCGGCACGAAGCCATGCTCAGGTCACGCCTCCAGCACCCCAACCTAGTGTGCTTGCTGGGCGTGGTCACCAAGGAGCAGCCAATCAGTATGGTCTTCAGTTACTCTGGCCATGGAGACCTCCACGAATTCTTAGTCATACGGTCGCCTCACTCAGATGTGGGCAGCTCGGATGACGACAAGACGGTGAGGTCCACGTTGGAGCAGGCAGACTTCCTGCACATCGTGACCCAGGTGGCGGCCGGAATGGAGTACCTGTCAAGCCACCACGTGGTCCATAAAGACCTGGCCACTCGTAACATTCTGGTCTGCGACAAGCTCAACGTCAAGATCCTTGACCTGGGCCTTTTCCGGGAAGTCTATTCCGCAGACTACTACAAACTGATGGGAAACAACCCATTCCCCATCCGATGGATGTCTCCGGAGGCCATCATGTATGGGAAGTTCTCCACAGATTCAGACATCTGGTCCTATGGCGTGGTGCTCTGGGAGATCTTCAGCTATGGGCTGCAGCCCTACTGCGGCTACTCCAACCAGGAAGTCATCGAAATGGTGCGTAACCGGCAGGTACTCTCTTGCCCGGACGACTGCCCCGCCTGGATCTACACCCTCATGCTCGAGTGCTGGAACGAGTTCCCCGCCCGGAGGCCCCGCTTCAAGGACATTCACGCTAGACTGAGGGCCTGGGAGAGCCTGTCCAACTACAACAGCTCTGCTCAGACCTCTGGAACCAGCAACACCACGCAGACAAGCTCGCTCAGCACCAGTCCCGTCAGCAACATCAGCACCACCCGGTACGTCAGCCCCAAGCCCAAGGCCTCACCCTTCCCTCAGCCTCAGTTCATGCCCATGAAAAGCCAGATGAGGCCCATGGTGCCCCCTCAACTCTACATTCCCGTCAATGGCTACCAGCCCATGCCAGCCTACCCCTACCTGCAGAACTTCTACCCCGTCCAGATTCCCATGCAGATGCCGCCCCAGCAGATGCACCCCCAGATGGTGCCGAAGGCCGGCTCACATCACAGCGGCAGCGGCTCCACCAGCACCGGCTATGTCACCACCGCACCCTCCAATACGTCGGGCACGGATCGGGCCGCACTGTTGACGGAGGACGCCAAGACCAACGAGGACGAAGCACCAGACGGCACATCGCAGACCGGCCTGCACTGTGAGGACGTGTCCGTCCCTGAGACCGAGCTGCTGGGGGACAACGACACTCCTCTGACAGATGACCTCGAGCTGCACTCCGAGGCATAGGTGGGGGGCGGGGAGGGGGGCGTGCTACAGACTCGAACCGCAACGGGCAAAGATGGCTGTCGAAGCAAGGCGTTTGTTGACGAACTGTAGGGCGATTTCAAAAAGTGAAGGGAATGCATCGTAAAACAAAAAAGAGCAATATTTATAAGTTGATTTACTGTCACTGATGTGGCGTGTGAGGTTTTACCTCTGTGACTTGGCATGTTGGCTTTGGGAAGTCCTGCAAGCTTCTCGCCATAGAACTGTGATGAAGAATCAATGTCTTCCTAGTATGTTGGTTGTGTGTGACGTGCAAGGGTGGGTGGAGTAGTGAGGTCTGTCAGAACTGTTGCAAAGCCTTTCAGAAGAATTCTATTTCTTACTGTTGCTGTGCAACATACAAAGCGAAACATTTTAGGTTCTTGAAGTCGCCTTTTTTCCATGTCACTAAGTTTCTTTGTATGTGTACAGTTTAGCACATTGTCTTTTGTTCGGGGGGGGGGGATTCACAGCTGTTTTCTGTACGAGGCATTCATGTAAACAAAAGCCAGGCCACGGAGTACTTCAGCTCCTTGGCACAGGCCAATAAACTCAGTGGTGGCTTCTGCCTTGGAGAATGGGCTGTAGGCGACCGGAAAGAGGAGATTCAGCTGCTTCATTTAGCAAAAAAAAAGTACCATGGGAAAAGGCATTCTTACTGGTCGAAGGAGGGCAGGTATTTCGATCGGAATTTCTGTCAAACTGTTCTGATTGTTTGATTCTTTGGTCTCCATGTGGATAAACCAAAAGCAGGACAGAAAGCTGAACCGCCACGAGAGAACGGCGGATGTTTCGTGACGCTTCATAGAATGGGCCTGGTCAGTGCTTGTTGTTACCTGGTTTTATCTTTTTTTTTGTAGATTTTTGCCTTTTTAAAAAAAAAAAAAACAAAAAAAAACACCTTTGGGACCTTGTACAGATCTATAAGTTATGTTTTAAAATGTCTCTCCCGAAGTACACATCTTTTTAAAGCAGCTTATCCATTGTCTTTTGTGTTCTTGGCATGAATTCTTACGCCAGGTATAATCTCTGTCCTAGTAAACAGATACTTGCTTTTATGAAAGACATTTTTTTAAACTCACAAAGTGGTCTTTTTTTGTTAAAAAAAAAAAATACAAAAATACTAAGATTTTGCCTTGTATTGTGTAAATCCTGCCACTTGGGATGTCCAATAAAAATGATACATTTATCATTAAAATCATCAACAATGTCCACTGTTATAAATATATTCTGGTACATTCAACATTTTCTCACATGGCGTGTATATACAGCTGAATGGTTCCAGAGGTTGTGAAACAGACTGTAATGCTTGATAGGAAGTATTGTAGGAACAGAATCTCTTTTTTCCATAGTCTTTTTAATGGGGGGATCTTGTCCTTTGTGCTTTAGGCTGCGTGCTCAGAAAAAGTGTGGTTGGAAACGTTCTGAAATTCAAAGAGCGATCGGGCACCCGCATAATAGGAGAGCATCGGGACCAAATTATGCAGAAGGAGAATATGCGGAACAGACAATGAAGCAGAACTTGCATTAGTCACAAGCTTACAATTAATTTGTGAATTAAAGACGTCCCTTCGTGTGAAGGGGGTCATCAATCAAACGGAATGCGAGTTTAAAGTTGGTGACGTGGTTTAGTATCAAACATTTATGCCGAATTCCCGTGAAAATGCAAGGCTCGCGTTGCAGGAGGAAAGAGAAAGCAGGTTTCTCGCAAAACAAAACGTGTAGAGTAACCCGATTGTTAGTATTACAGATAAGTTGGAAACACAATTTGGTGATAATCAGCTTTTTAAGTAAACGGAATTTACGAGAGCTCTTCCAACGGTACTGACGGAAAAGGCATGTGGATGCTATTACATTGTGCTTCAGAGGATTATGCACCCACCACATCTGTACACGGAATGAAAAAAACATGTCCACCGCAAACCACCGGGGCCGAGTGCTTTAACCATACCCACGTGAGCATGAGAGGGGTACATATTCTTCACTGACCTCTTTCTAGAAACCGGTATTTCTTTTGAGCCTAAAATCTTGCCTCACGTAAGGGTAATTGTGTGTTCTGCGCCAGTTCCATCGGCTACGTGACTGTTTAGGGATATTTAAACAAACGCTCAAACCGTAACATGATGTTCAGTGGAAGGGCTTCCGCCGCCCTGTCTGTACTGGAAGGGTGAGTCAGGTGATCGGTTCCCTTGTCCTGGCCGTCTCTGACCTTATCCATGTTGTTCCGCAACATACCCCCGCAGCTAGACTCAGCCCTTACATAACCCGACGCGCCTTTGATGTTTTTGTGTATGTTCCATCGAAAGCTGCTGCTTGCGTTAATTCACGTGTCCGATCGCCTGGCCCGGAGCGAGTCTTTCCGCAACTTTTAAGCTCTTTTTATAGTATAATGTAAAACCTGTGAACGGACAGGGCGAGTACAGTGACAATATGTAGGTTTCTGCGCTGCCTTGAAAGTAAGGTCGCTACGGTGTTTATTTTCTGATATGCCTAGAACACTGGGTTAATCTACCCACGATTTCTGACCTACAGAATGCAATCTGGTATCTCGCTTCCTTCCGTACAGGTCCGATCAGTCCTATAAGCGGCCATCTTTTGCTCGCCAACTTTTAAGGGGGCGCCGAAATGCCAGCCTATTTGTTTGCTTTGGACGGAGGCCGTCACACCAGCAAGGGCCGGTACTGCTTCCCTACATACTACTACTAATCCGTATGCAAGAGTATTGACCTCCAGCAGATCCCACGTGAAAGCACTGATCGGTGAGATAATTAACTGCAGGGATGCAAAGGAATTCCTCCCTTATATTCGTTTTTTTTTATCCGGGGGGGGTGGTTCAAATGGCATCAGAGGAAAATCTCGCTGGGGTTGTTCTCAATCTCCATCTCCAAGCTTTCCATCTTCAGGGTGAGCTAGACAAAGGACAAGAAGATAATCCATATTCACTTTTCAGTAATTAAGCGAGAAACCTAGCCTGCTTAGAACACAGCCAAACATCGGCCTACATTCAGTGCAAAACAAACAAGCCGCACAGGCAGTACACGTATTGCAAACAAGTAAACGTACTGCAAATTAAAAAGTCCACAGTACACAAATAGAATATTGAAAACTGAATATTATAGGATAGCAATGAAATGAATATTAACGAAATGGGGTGGGGGGGGGAAGCCTAATTAGAGGATGGTGTGTGTGTGTTTGCAATTAAAAAACAGTGCCTGTCTGTTACAGATGCCTGGTGCATGATGTCAGCAGGTAGGACTGATCATCCAGTAGCGCTTTACACCGTGGTAGAATGAGCTGGTGAATAAAGGTACTTCAAGATAGCGCCCCCTGGTGCAGATGGGTAGAATTGTTCATGTCCTATTATGGGGCTAGTTTTCCTCATAAGTGTGCTCAGACGTTTGTTATCGCCTGAACTGATAGTGCAGAAAAGCATGTGGGACACGTTAAAAGACCTGAGCCTGCTGGGAAAGCAGAGTCTGCTCTGGCCTTTCTTAGACAGTCCTTTCCTTTCTGTGCTGTCTGCCCAGTCTAGTCTGCTGTTCAGGTGGACCCCCAGGATCTTGTAGCCCTGCACCGCCTTCACATTCTCCCCTTGGATGGTGGTGCAGGGCTCCCTGCCACTCTGGAAGTCCACCACCAGTTCCATTGTCTTGATGTTTGAATTGCAGGACGTTTACCCCTCATCACAAGACAAAATCCTTTATTAGTATTTCTATATTTATATATTCCTGTATTTTTATACCTTTCTCTAACGTCAAATACTTTAAAAAGTCTTTGGTTTGAGAGAATAAACCTAAAATTTAATTTTGATTTTCACCACGCGGTGGCGGTGTAGAACCATTTTACCGAAGTACAAAATATTATTATATTGCTCTGACAGAACAATTTACAATATCTCCAAGTTTCCGCATAATATTGTTATAGTGTTCTGTATGTTTTTGGTTTTGCATTTCCTCCAACAAATCTGTTCTACATTTTGTTTGGCAAATGATGACAAATGCGGTCCATGATATTTATCTCCAGCCTAGTCTAACTTTCACAAGACGTATTTCTAGAAACACGAACAATGGTTTTACGCAGAATGCCTGGACCCGTGTAGCAGGGCGCTTGGCTGTGTAAGTCCGTGGTTACAAATCTAAATTTTCTTGCGTTCTTACCAGAAAATCAAATATATTATTTTGGGAAATTCCTATGGAGTTATCCACTGAAAGATTGAGATTTTGCCCTGATTTAAATGCATTGCCTCCAGTTAAACTATCCAGTTGTTACCATAATCTGGCTTAAAAATAATTGGCATATAACATTGTACATGTCAATTAAAAGCAATTAAAAAGAAGTTTGTAGGTTATAAGTAGCCAGGGGCGCTGTAAAGGGGGGGGGGGGGGTAAACGATGACGATTCTCGGGGCCCATGACTGAGAGGGGGCCCAGAGAAGCCCCCAATAAAAAAGTCTCAGCTGTGTTGGGGGCCCTGTCAAGATTCTTTTCATGGGGCCCAAAATCCTTAGCAGCGCCCCTGTAAGTAGCTATAGAGTATTAGACTAATAACGTTAAGTTTGTCTTTTCGAGCGATGTCGACTATAGTGAAATTCATTCTAGGATGCGTGCATAGGATATTATGGAAGTAATTTCACAAAACAGTAACTTAGATATTAATGGAACACTGAAATGCGACCTCACTAATGATGCGTCGCCACGTTTCTGTTTGTTGAATCAGCTGGTAGACAATAACACTCAAAACCGAACAAACTTTATGTGAGCTGGATGGCGCCACCATCGACGGATTTGGGGAATATCCACAACACCTTCGGTTATACGCCAGCGAATGACAATTGCAATATCAATTAATATAAAAAAAAATACTGAAAAATTACAATAAAGAACGCTAGCATCTGTGCCAGCCTTGAGCCTCAGATATCACGGACAACATTCAGAAACCAGATCTGTGCATGCATTAGGCGACATGCCTCCCGTCATTATGTGATCAAATAGCTTGGGATACGGTGACATTTAGTCCAAGTATACCTGCCTCGGGTCCTTCACATATGCAGTTAACCTAGCATATATTAACCTCTCTAAACTCTCCGACAATGCTTCCTTACTCGGTATCAGTTTGGTCGTGGTCACATACTCAGTCTTGGCATTACGTCTTTTGGGGTATTTGTGTTTTTTTTTCTCTTAATCTTTTCCTTTATGTTTGCTATTCTCTTGCGGACCAGTGGCCTGTACTACGAAGCGAGGTTACTGGCTTATCGGGGTAACTTTGCGAATAACTTGATGACGTGTGGTGTAACTTCGCAATTAACCCGTTCTACGAAAGGTGGGTAGGTTTTACTCGAGGCATGCTGCCATGGCAATTTACGCTAAGTCTCAAAACTGCTCCGAGCAGTTTTTTGTTCTTGGTTAAGTCGAGGTTTCTGCGTAAGCCAGCCCTATATGAGCACCGCCCCTCCAACTACAATTTCTCCGAAGACAATGCCGGTTCACCTGGATGATCCATACGACACTGGCGCGCGAGTCGTGAGGGGCTCTCTCTGTCAATATGTATGAAATGGAGCAATGGCATATAATATGCATACAATGTATTAATTAATAACTGTTACAGAGAAAGTTATTCTGAAAACCCAAGGGGTGTGCATTGTTCCCTGTTGTCCACTGATCAAAGCACACTTCACTAGATGTGCCTGTCTTGTCTAGTTTTAACGTTATTAACCCATTCATGTATTGTCCCATATTGCACAGTATACGGATACATTCGAACATTCAAAAATTAATTAAAATTCGCATGTAAAGCAATCTGGGAAACAAAGGGGTGTGCAACAGTCGCCATGAGCCCAAAATACTAAACCACCATGTCATTACAGCTGAAAGGACCTATTATATTAGCTATTAACATGATTTGGCACAAATCACGAAATGTTTTGAAGCGGAAAAATAATCGGTGTGCATCGATGTCTGTGTACTGGACATCACAATTCTTTCATTTAAAACGCCCAACCTTCCGTAACGTTATTAAACCCAGAAAACTGAATATGGAATAAGAGGCTAACTTAACCGCGGTGACAGGTTCCTAGTCGTTTTCTCACTACACATATGCTTCTGTTTTGTCCTGTTGTAAATCATTTAATTGATTGTTAAACAATGGCTCAATTTCTATTGTCATTTGAACAAACACCTTTTTATTATTAGCTGTAAAACATAGAAAC